ATTTTAAAAAATATTATATAATTCTGTGGTGATAACAAGAAATGGCTAACATTGAAACAGCCTAATGACAGAAGAAAAGTCAATCAAATTTTAATTGACATTTAAAAAATAAATCAAATATAATCGTAAAGTCAAAAAACCACAACTCCCTGCTCTTTAATTAAAAAAAAAAAAAAAAAGTCTAATGACACAGCAAATATTAGATCTTACGTACGAGATCTTGAAGGATACACAAAATGTCAAGTCTCATTAACTTTCCTGGTTTCCTGGTGCTGTCCTTCTATTGAGTCCTCATTCTTTACAGAGGTGCTTTCCCGCCCCTAAGAACAGTCTTAATGTGAATTTTATTTAACACTTCATGTGGGTAAAATTATCCATGAACTCTTCTCCAAAACCTGTGGGTTAAAATAGCTGATTAAAATCTTGGTATCAGTCACTGAAGGGTAGAATGAGGGACTGGTGTGCTCTTCTTGAATCTAGACCGGGACTTACAGCTTCTCGAACTAAAACAGTTCTTCCAAAGGGGAAAGTTTTGATCTGATCCTATTTTAAAACTTCAACGACAGGGCCATCATGACTCTGCCCTTCAGCGAGCTTTACTAGAACGGGCTGCTGCAACTGTAAGAAAAAGCCTGGACTCACATCTAAAGAGACAGCAATCTAAATGTCAACCGTTAGCGGGTGGAAGATGCGGAGGGAGGGAGGAGTTGGCTCCATTTCACAGTACCAACATCACGTCAATTTTTTTTCTCTAGTTCTCCTGAAAGACAGCTTTCCAATTCCATCAAATGTGTGAAACCCAACCTTTACTTTCTTACAGGCCACAACATTTGGGTTCTAAATAAAGAGGAACAAATCGATGTTTGGCCATCGCTCAAGGAGACCCACATATTAGGGTTAAGAAAGGCAGCAATGGGGGCCCAGCACTCACAGCGGAAAATGCTAACATTCTTGGGGTGACTCACATGAACCAAGGGTTCCAAGGTTGCCTACTGCCCCAGGTGGGGATCAAGTGACTTGACGACAACAGTAGGCTTGACGTCACGTTCCATACCACACTTTTTACAAAGCGGTGGGACACAGAACCTGGACACCTGGACACTGTCCACATAGGGGAAAAGGCAGAAAGAACTTCATACCCCTAAACATCAATTATACGTGCAATATTGCTTATTTCCTTGGTGAATTTTTTCTAACTTTCAATTGTGGTGAAATACACATAAAATAAAATTTATCTTCTTAACCATTTAGAAGTGTACAGTTCGGGAGGATAAAGCACATTCACATTATTGTGCAGCCAGTCTCCAAAATTCTTTTCATCCTGCAAAACTGACACTCGATAGCCATCAAAAAGCTCTCCATTCTTCCCTCTCCCCAGCCCCTGGCAACCCAACTTCCACTTTCTGTCTATCAAATCTGACTACTCTAAATACCTCATATTAGTGGAGTTACACAGTATCTGTCTTTTTGTGACTGGTTTATTTCAGTTAGCATAATGTCCTCAAAGTTCATTTATGTTGCATGATGTGTCAGAATCTCCTTCCTTTGTGAGGCTGAATAACACTCCACTGTCTGTACATACCGCGTTTTGGTTTATGCATTCATCTACTTGGGTTGTTTCCACTGTCTGGCTAGGGTGAATAATGCTGCTATGAACATGAGGATACAAATATCTCTTCGAGACCCTGCTTTCAATTATTTTGGGTAAATACCCAGAAGTGGAATTACTGAATCATATGGTAATTCTATTTTCAGTGTGCTGAGGAACTGCCATACTGTTTTCCGTGGTTGCTATACCATCTTACATTCTCGCAACGTCCTTGCCCACTTTGTTATTGTCTGTCTTTTTGATACTAGCCATCCTTATGGATATGAGGTGGTTTTTATATTTTTTAACTTTTCTATAATATCACCGTATTATTTTAATAATTATAAGTAAATCCCATAAAATACATTCAACCATTAAAAGTGAACATACAAATATATATATTTATTGGTATAGAAAGACCTTTACCATATAGTCTAAATTTTTTAAAGGCGAAGGTTATTGTAAGAGTTACACAAAACTATGTATATTATTATCTATGTTTGGGGATATACATATACTCGTATTAATATAAATGTTTTATATAGACTTAGTGGAATGTGAAAAGGAATATAGAAACAATAAGGCAAAAAGTTAACAGTTATGATCTGTGGATAGTGAAATTTAAGTGATCTTAATATTTTTGTATTTATTTTCTGATCTCTACCCAATGAATATGCATTTCTTCTATGATAATAAATAATAACAATAGAGGGGGTAATTCGGTAAACAAGTTGGGAGTCATCAAGTACCTAAGTAATTGTAGGCGGCCATGCGGCTATAGCCATAAAGTACAACCACTCAACGTGTCCGAGGACATTCAGGCCAGGATGGGGCCCTCTGGATCAGCTGTAATCATACTGTTAAACTCTAGTTTTAGTCCCTAAGTACTCTGACGGCTTTATTTGGTTAATATTGATATATGATAGATGCTGAAATCCAAGAGTTGAGAATCTGTTGATTTGCCATCTATTGATTCTTACAACCCCAGAATCAAAGAAGAAGAGATCTAACAAAACAGACTATACAATGCCAGTTTCTTGTGCTTAACATGCTATAAACACATACACACATATACATACATACACACACCGCGGGCAATAGACAAGATTTATTAGGTACGAAGAGATAAATGGGCTAAAGATAGCTATTCCAACCAAACTACATTACATATTTTAGTTACCATTAGATAAGAAATTCATATATCGACATTTTTGTGAAAACTCTCCTTTGTTTATGCTTTGTCATATGCATGTGTGTATGTTTCATGAGTGTGTTTTTTTTTTTTGAATCTCAATCTTGCCTGCCTCCCTGAACTAAAAGAACAAGACTACATCCAACTTTAGGCACAAGAAGTAGAGGAAAGAGTACTTCAAAGATAAGAGACACAAGCTGAGGCACAGAAGAAAATGATAACCAAGGATTCCGCTACCCACTAGGAACTAAAAAGCTTGCTCCCAGATCTTCCTTAAACAAAGGCACGCTTAACCTTTTCCACTCTGACCCTGGCCTTCAAACTGGGGGGCTGTAACATTAGTGGAAATGACTCTTCAACACACTGGCCACTTTTCACCCTAGCCAAACAGTGGAAGCAATCCAACTGTGTTGTAGATGAATGCATAAACAAAATTGTGGTATGTACAGACAGTGGAATGTCATTCAGCCTTTTTTCCTCAAAAAAAAAAAAAGACCCTTGAGCTTAGGAGTACAGCAGATATCATCAATAATTGGATTACTCAACACTTCAGGTCTTTAATCCTGAAATTATCTCCTACTAAGGACAAATGACTTTCCTTCCGCATCTCTTGGCCTCCGTTCCACTCAACATGTGTGTCCCTCATGATGGCTACCAGCCAGTCCCTTGACATTTCTTTCTTAATACATCACCTCTACTCCGGCTTCTCTGTCTACCCATTCCGCCTGGATCTTGGATGAGTCACTGAAGAAATGGATTACATATGAACTTCCTTTAATTTTCTCTACTGGTAACTAGTCATAGGTTAGCCTCTCAAAGAAAAGACCAAGAGAAAGGACAGAAGAGAGGACACCCTGTCCCTCAGTCTTGCATTCACAGTTCTCCATCATATAATCACATTCTACCTCCCCAGTGACCTCCCAACCACAGTGCAACAAGCACTGAAGGTTCTGAGAAGCCCCGTGCGGGTTTCTAGGAAGGCTGGAATGGGAGCTGAGCGGGCAGGACCTCCGGCTTCATCAGAGTAGTTCTACATTTATCTAACAATGGGAAATCATTTAATCAATTACGTTGCACACAGAAGACAGATGTTATTCAGCCATTAAAAACTATTTCAGAAGAACATTCAGGGACACGAGAAAATGCTCCTGATGCTAAACATTATATACAGCATTATCCAAATTCTTAAATATGTGACAGACCTAGGAGTAAAAAGTGTCTAGAGGGAAACACGGTATAACTGTGGTTGTGTGAGAATGACAGATTTATGGGTGCAAATCTTATTTCTATTAATAATCCTTTCTAAACACATTTATGTAATCTTTTCTTTAAAATTAAAAGTAAGTATGTATTTCCTTTCTTTAAAAAAGATGTTTCTCCAAAGCCCTTGCTCTATGTTTGCCCTTTCTAAAGCCCAGAAAATGAATGATCAAACCTTACCTTTGCTGGAGTCTTCGCAGGCTAACATCTGGTAGTAGCCAGCAGGACAGAAACAAGCTAGGCTGCTCACCCCAGAGGTTTCAAATACAAAGAAAT